CAGACAACAGAGATGCTTCCTTGCCAGATTTCACACAGAAGGTGGCATTTGTGTGGCGGTCAGGCCTCAGATGGCCTATTCTAAGCCGCAATGACGGCAGCATACAATATTGGGAAAGAAGCAGGGAGCCCGCTCCCCAAACAACATCCTCCAAACCGATCCTTGGATCTCCCATTGGAATTATCTTGGGGAACAATCAGGCTTCATGTCATCCTCCCAGAGAGTTAAGAACTTTCCGATGAAATCTGGCATTGTTGGTGATCCTCCCAGATCCCCTCACCAGGTCAGCGTAGCCGTCCCTGGCTGCTGGGTGTTGGATGCTCCTGGCTGCCTCCTTCTCCAAAGGGTTTCCTCCCTCCACCTCGCCCGAGAGGCCATGCCCCTCCTCAGAGGCAGTGCAAAGGCTGACCCACACTGGGGGATGAGAGCCCTCGCCCCACGTCCAGGTGCCACCCACCTGTGGTGCAGTTCGTACTCAGCACCCCATGAGATCACGCTGGAGGCAGACTGCGGGGAGATCACACCCTGCCGAACAGCACCCCCCTGCCCTAGGCTGCCTGCGTCAGTCCCCTTCTCCTGCGAGCACTGCCGCAATCAGTCAAGGGCGGCCCCTCCCCGAGAATACACCCTTGGCCAGCTGTGAACTGAGTCCTCTTCAGAGCCCGCGAGAGCACTTGGCACACACAGCCTTCTTTCTTAGGGATCGGAAGGGTCCTGCTTCTTGGGGGGTACCCCAGCGTTCTCTGGGCTCCCATGTCTCACAAAATGTCTACCTCTAAGACTTAACACAGTGTCTTGTTAAGTTACTGTTTGCCTAACACACTGGGGACCAGGGTGGCAGTGGGGGATGGGTGGTAAATAAATGAGCACGGTGGAAAACATTGAGCTCGGAAGAAATACAACCTTTTAAGGAAGAGCAGCTCTTACGTGCCAGATACTGCAGGACTAGAAGGGGAGGTCACGGGCGAGCCCGGGGGAGGCTGGAAAGACCCATGTAGGTGACAGATTGGGGTTGGAGACATCGGCATGAAGTCATGCTTGTCTCGGTATAGACACAGATGGTATGCACAGGAATATTTATAGACGCGTGTGTATACACAGGTTCCTACACATACACGTCTCCTTGCTCTGACAGCTGAGGGGGCCCAGCAGCAACGGCACCCCAGGAGCCGTGAGCAAGAGCAGTAAGCACACCTGGTGCCCAGGCCCTGATGTCCAACCCCCTTCTCCACAAAAGGAACCAGGGCTTGTTGGAGACATGGCTGATTCTAGGACAGGGGCAGGAAATACACAGATGAGCCTAATAAGAAAGTGCTCAAAAAAAAAAAAAAAAAT